GAGGAGGGGGAGGAGGAGAAGGAGCAGGGGGAGCAGGAGGAGGAGGAGGGGGAATGATGAGGGAGAGCAGCAGCAGGAGCAGGGGGAGGAGGAGGACGAGGAGGAGGAGGATGAGGAGAAGGACGGTGACGAGGGAGGGGGAGGGGGAGGGGGCCGAGGCGAAGACTCCTCAACGCCCACATGCAGCGGACTTCGCAATGTCGCCGATCAAGCGAGCGAAAGCGAGAGCCGTGAAACGTGGCGCAGCTGTGACTAGAACCTAAGCGCGAAGCGCGCGTGGTTGTAGCACATGTAGATACACCTTACATGTACATGTGTAGACACACGCACATGCACACATGCATACATGCATGTATGCATGCACACAGACATATGAACACATACATACATATACACATACATACACACATACCTACACACATGTATACATGCACACATACACACATACACACATATACATACACATACACATACACATACACATACATACATACATACATACATACATACATACATACATACATACATACATACATACATACATACATACATACATACATACGTACGTACGTACGTACGTACATACATACATACATACATGCACACACATACATACATACATGCATGCATTCATGCATACATGCATACATACATACATACATATACATGCATATCCATACATACATACATACATGCATGCATACACACATACATACATGCATGCATACATACATACATACACATATACGTACATGCATACATGCATACATACATACAGACACACACACGCACACATGCATACATACATACACACGTGCATACATACACACATACATACATGCATGCATACATACATACATGCATGCATACATACATACATGCATACATACATACATACATATACACACACCCATCTGCATGCATACATACACACATACAGTCATACACATACATATATACATGCATACATACATACACACATCCGTATGTTCACCCATACATCCATACATGCATGCATACATCCATGCATTCATGCATGCAAACATGCATACATACATACATTCATACACGCACATGCATACATACATACATACATACATACATACATACATACATACATACACACACGCATGGTCGTACGTACACATATGCATACATGCATACATACCGACTGAAAGACAGACACACACACATACATACACACGTACACACATAAATACACCCATACATACATACACACATACACAAATACACACATACACATACTCAAATATGCACGTACATACACACATACACACTTACATCCATCCATCCATCCATCCATCCATCCATCCATCCATCCATCCATCCATCCATCCATCCATCTATAGATACATACATACATACATACGGACTTACTTACATACATACATACAGACATACATGTGCACACATACACATACCCATCCATCCATCCGTACATACATCCATACATAAATACATACACGCATACATACACACCAACATACATGCATACATACATGCATGCGAAAGAGCGAGTTCTGTGGTTGCTTGGAGGGGGGGGGGGTCGGAACCGGACCCCCGCCCCTCCCGTGACGGAGGGGGGTGTTCGAACCGCCCCCCCCCCCTCCCCTCCCTTTCCCCCCCCCTCTTCCCCTACTTCTCTTCTCTCCTTCTCCTCGGGCCGGCGCCTGCGTCGGCGGCGGCTGGCGGCGGCGGCGGGGACGAGGACTTCGTTTTCTGGTTTTCTGGGCCAGCGCTGGCGCCAGCGGCGGCGGGCGGCGGCGGCGGGGAGCGTCGACGAGGACGACGGCGACGACGATGACGACGACGACGACGATCCGCCACCGTGCCTTGGTTTTGGGTCAGAGTCCTAATGGAAGCCTCTCGGGGTCTCGTCGGAGGGCTCTCGGGGGCCTCTAACGGGCATTTGTAAAGCCTGTAATAATGGTGGTGGTGGTTGTGGCGGTGGTGATTGTGGTGGTGGTGTGGTGGTTGGCGGTGGTGGTGGTTGTTGTGGTGGTTGTGGTGGCAGGTTGTGGTGGTGGTGGTAGGGGTGGTGGTGGTGGTGGTGATGTGGTGATTTCTGGTGGTGGTGGTGGTAGTGGTGGTGGTGGGTTAAGGTGGTGGTGGTGGCGGTGGTGGTGTGGTGGTTTGTCGTGGTGGTTGTGGTGGTGGTAGTGGTTGTGGTGGTGGGTTGTGGTGGTTGTGATGGCGGTTGTGGTGGTTGTGGTGGTGGGGGTGGTTTGTTGTGGTGGTTGAGGTTGCGGTGGTGGGTGGTGGTGGTGGTGGTGGTGGTGGTGGTGCTGTGGTGGGTTGTGGTGGTGGTTGCAGTGGTGGTGTGGTGGTTTGTTGTGGTGCTGGTGGTTGTGGTGGTGGGTGGTGGTGGTGGTGGAGATGGTGGTGTGGTGGTTTGTGGTGGTGGTGGTGGCGGTTGTGGTGGTGGCGGTGGTTTGTTGAGATGGTGCTAATAGTGATGGTGGTGGTGGTGGTGGTAGTGTGGTGGTTTGTGGTGGTGGTGGTGCGTTGTGCTGCTGGTAGTGTTGGTGGTTGTGGCGGTGGTGGTGGTGTGGTAGATTGGTGGTGGTGGTTGTAGTGGTGGTGGGTTGTTGTGGTGGTGGGTTGTTGTGGTAGTGGAGGTGGTGAGTTGTTGTGGTTTGTGGTGGTGGTGGTGGCTGTGATGGTGGTGGTTGTGTGGTGGTTTGGTGGTGGCGGTGATTAGTTGAGGTGGTGGTGGTGGTGGTAGTGATGGTGGTGGTGGTTTGTGGTGGCGTGGTGGTTTGTGGTCGTGGTGGTGGTGGTGGGCTGTGGTGTTGGTGGTGGTGGTGCTGCTGCTGCTGGTAGCGGTTGTGGTGGTGGTGGTGGTGGGTGGTGGGTGGTGGGTGGTGGGTGGTGGGTGGTTGTAGTTGTGGTGGTGATTGTGGTGGTGGTGTGGTGGTTTGTGGTGGTGGTGGTTGGTGGTGATGGTTGTGGTGGTGGCGGTGGTGGTGATGTTGGTGGTAATGGTGTGGTGGTTTGTGGTGGTGGTGGTTGTGGTGGGTTGTCGTTGGTTGTGGTGGTGCTGGTGGTGGTGGCGTTTGTGGTGGTGCTGGTGGTGTAGTGGTTTGTGGTGACGGTGGTGGCTGTGGTAGTGGTGGTGATTGTGGTGGTTTCGGTGGGTTTGGTGCTGGTGCGGTGCTTTGTTGTGGTGGTGGTGGTTGTGGTGGTGTGGCCTTCGGCTTTTCCCGCCACCGCATTTGGGCTGTGGGACAGAGCTCTAATTGATGCCTTTTGAGGTCTCGTCAGAAGGATCTCGGCCTGAGGAGCATGTATGAAGCCTCGTGGATCTCCCTAAGGGTCTCTCGGTGTGGCGAGGGCTCGATATGGCGATTTGTGTGTTCCCTCTGCGGTCTCTGGGCCCTCTCTGGTCATCGTCGCTGCGTCCCGGCCGTCGGCGCTGCTGGCCGCCGCCAGCGCCGGCGCCGGCGCAAGGGGGGGGGTTTTGGACCCCCCCCCCTCTCCCTGGGCCCTCTCTGGTCATCGTCGCTGCGTCCCCGCCGTCGGCGCTGCTAGCGGCCGCCAGCGCCGGCGCCGGCGCTAGGGGGGGGGGTCCGGCAAGGGGAGGTTAGTGGGGGGGGGGCCCTGATTCTGATCGACGGCGCCGACTGTTGGGGAGGAGGGCCCCCCCCCCGTTCGAAACGCGCCACCGGATTCATACATACATACATACGTACATACATACACAGACATCTATACAGTATAAACATATATTTATATATATATATAGATATGTATATATATATAGCGCCACACAGTGCGCACAGCATGTACAACAGGCATTGCACCACATAGATTGTTCCACGTTTATTGACCCCCCCCCATAGTTTGCGCAAAATACACTGCGCCACGTGAATTGCACAGCGTGTGCTGCTGGAGACACACCATTTGGGCTCCACGCTGGCCCACATTGTCCTCTGACACACGAGGTCCGCTTTTCGTATCTTCCCTGCGTTCGGCAGCATAGAGGGCATCGCGCTCACTTGCACCTCACACTCGACTTGGGGGTGTGCCGTCAGTGGGTGTTGCCTGCATTGTCCTTTCCATGGGGCTCTGGGGGGTCAATGCATGTTCTGCCAAATATTTGAAACGCAAAGGTTTGAGCGGCCCTCAGAATGTATGTTTCTGTGTCTCCCCCTGTCTCTCTAGTTTTTTGTTCTCTCTCTCTCTCTCTCTCTCTCTCTCTTTCGTTCTCTCCTTTTTCCTTCGTTCGCGTCGTCCTTTTTCTCCCTATCATCACTCTCTCGTCTCCAGTGTGTATTCCCCAATCAGAGCTTGCCTCTGTAGGGGTCCTAGCGGATTCATATAATTAGATTAGGTTTGTCACCGATTTTCGCTGCACGCCCGGGTGCCCGGGTGCCCGGGGTTGCCCGGGTGCCCGGGGGGGGCCCGGGGGTGCCCGGGTGCCCGCTTGCCAGGGTGCTCAGGCGTGCCTGGGGCTGCCCGGGGGTGCCCGGGGGTTCCCGGGTGCCCAGGTGCCCAGGCGTGCCCGAGGGTGCCCTGGGGTGCCCGAGGGTACCCTATAGCCCAATAGCCCGATAGCCCTACAACTCTATAGCCCTATAGCTCTATAGCCCTATAGCTCAATAGCCCTACTGCCCTATAGCCCCCTAGCCCTATAGCCCTGATTGGGTTTTTCTCCCGTATCATATGTTTTGTGTTTGGGGTTGCTCGTTCTCTCTCTCTCTCTCTCTCTCGCTTTCTCTTTCTCTCTATCTCTCTCTTTCCCTTGTTCTCTCCCGCTCCCGTTGTATACATGTGTATGTATTTCTATATACACATGTGTATATATGTACACATATATATATATGTATATATACTTCGTTTCCCTCGCTTACCACCTCCCCTCCCTTTGCTACTTACTCCAGTTTTCCTCCATCCCGTACGCCATCCTTCCCGTCCTTTTCGCTTCTCTCTCTCTCTCTCTCTTTCTCTCTCTCGACGCTGTGCTTTGACCCGTCGAGGCGCCCTCCTCGGTGGGCAGACACTTCAATCGCAAGAAGGTGTCAACATGCGAGGCGCGGGCCCAGGGGCGGTCCTCCCACCTGTTCCTCCTACCTCATTCCTCTTCCCTCCCCGCCCCTGTCATCAGATCTATCTACGTTGGTCAGAACAACGTAGCGCTGGGGTTCCCCATTGGAAATGTTAGCGCGTCCAGGCAGGGTTCGCAACGAAGTGGCGCCCCACCTCTGCCCACATGAAGCACTGGTAGCATGGAAGAGCGATGGCGCCTTGAGCTGGATGCACGGGGGTGGGGAAAGACGGGGCGGGGCGCGGACGGGCAGCGCACCTGAAGGGAAGGCACCACTTGGTCTGGTCATGTCTGGTCTGGTTTGATCGGGTCAGGTGGAAGACGAGGGGATACAGGAAGATTACGAGAGGCAACAGGAGAGGGATTTCGAGACTAAGGAGGGCGAGGAGGGGGAGGAGGATATGGAGGATGAATAGGAGGGGGGAAGAAGGAGGGCCAGGAGGAGGATGGAGCAAGGATATCAGGAGCGACAACAATTCGATTGAAGTGGTCGTGTGCCGTGTTTCCCTCGTGCTTATCATGGCTGTATTTGGTGGCACATCGAAGACGCTTCTGAAGTCCCGCGTTGACCGTGAGAGAGAGAGAGGGAGAGAGAAAAAGGAGAGAGAGAGAGAGAGAGTAATTGCCTCCGAAACCCCAGAAGTCACAATTCTAGATGTCCCGCGAGCGAATCGGAGCGCCCTTGTCGAGGGTGGCGGTCACGTCCGACTCTGTGAGCACCGCTTGGGGGTCGCACGCGCTCCAAACGCTCGTGCCAGATGCGATGTGAGAGCAAGCAATGACGGGACACGACACTCGCAAACATTGGTTCATCACTCCCATGCACGCACTGGCAGAGGATGAGGAGGATGGATGGTTATTGTTATGGATGAGCGAGGACGGTTGTGTGAGTGACAGAGAGAGAGAGAGAGAAACAAGAGAGAGAGAGAGACAATAATCAACAACAGGAAAGAGGATATATTGACACCCGTATATATATAGAGAGAGAGCAGGGAGAGAGGGAGAGAGAAAGAGAGAGGGGGGGGAAAGAGACGAAGACAGAGGGAGAGACAGATGGGTGGAAACATGGTTTTTGGTATACAGAGAGAGGGAGAGAAAGAGAAAGAGAGAGAGAGAGAGATTGTGTATGTGAGAGAGAAAGTGGTATAACAAAAGCAAGCAACAGTGAGGCGTGAGGGAGAGATCTAATATGCATGTATATATAGAGTATGCGTAGTTCGGGAAGGAAAGAGGGAGAAAGAGCGAGAGAGAGAGAGGGAGAGAGAGCGAGAGAGAGAGAGAGACAGAGCGAAAGAGACAAAGAGAGAGAGAGAGAGAGAGAGAGAGCGTGAGAGCAGAAGACGTCGGTGTTGTCCAGTGTTGCGCTGGGACGCTTTAGCCTACGCCCTTTAGTGGCAGCGTCGTTCTCCATCCACCTGCCTCCACCCTCTCCTCGTCGATCTCTCTCGATTCCCGGCGATCATGCTCGATCCTCCCCTCCACATCGCCATCCCATCCCCTTCTGCATCCCTTCCCCATCGCCATCCCCTCCCCTCCACCCCCTCCCCATCACCACCCCCTCCCCGTCTCCTCTCCACCTCTCTCCCCTCCTGCCGTGGCCTTTCTGACAGAGCTCGCTTTCGGAGAAAGGGACTTTGGGCGTGAGCTGGCGGTTGTGGTTTCTCGGGTTCTGGGAACCCGCGTGGGCGCAGGCGCCGGGCTACGCATACTCCTGGTCGGGCTTGACGCCGACCCGCGTTGTCAGTGGCACTTCTCGCGTCTTGCAGCTTCCTCCCCCTCCCCTCTCGCGTTTCGGCCTCCCCCCCCCGCTTCCTGACGCCAGCCGCAATCGACGACTTCCCATGTGGTAGGGCTGGCCTGGCGCTTTCAGCTCCTGGTCAGCAGGCCTACGGCCAGCCTGGCGCTCCCACCGCGGCATCGTTTGTCGCCCCCATCCCCGTGGGTCTCCTACTGGACCTCCGTCTCGATAGGGGGCCACATACGAGCCCTACCCCCTACCCCCCACAATTATTTCTGAGGGGGGGGGATAGGGTTCCCTTCGCTCGGGAGCTCCCTGACAGAATCATCATTGCCCTGTCGCGGTGCAGTCGAAGGAGGGGGGGGGGAGTGGGCGGGCCTCCCAGACCGCGGTGATGAACATCGACATGAAGTTGGACCCTCTGGGGCAGGTGTGGATCCTGGGCGTGCCCTTCCTGCGGAAGTATTACACGGTGGGGGGCGAGCGGAAGGGGGCGGCAGGGAGGGCAGCGGAGAGAGGAATAGCGAGAACCATGGCTGCACAAAGTAGGGAGAGGATAGCGAGTGGGCGGAGAACGTTTCAATATTGTTTCGCCCTTCTCTCTCCTTCCTCTCTACATTTTTATATATGTATACGTACATATATACATATACATACATATATACACATATGTATATATATATATATGTGTATATCTCACCCCTCTCTCGCTCTCTGCCTCTCTCTCTCTCTCGCTCTCTCTCTCTCTCTCTTTCACTCCCTTTCTCTCGCTCCCGCTCTCTCTCTCTCTATCTCTCCCTCCCTCTCCCTCTCTCTCTGCCCTCTCTCTATGTTCTCTCTCTCCCTCTTTCAAAACAGAGAGATGAAAGAGGTACATATGTTTACATATATGTATACATATATGTAAATATATGTGTGTAGCGATAATTGGCAGTTAATTTGGGCAGTTTGCTGGCTGGCCTGGTGGCTGGTTGCGCGCGCCTCTAGTAATTCACAAGGGTTGGTACCCTCGGAAGCGCGCTTCCATTATACTTTACGATGGCTCGCGGCTTCGGGTGCACGTATCCCTAGCTATTATACATTATGCGTGGTTTTGGGTCCAGAGGGTATTGTTCAGGGAACGGAAGGGGGGGAGGGCCGAGAAACGCGACCCGAACACACAGACACGTACTTATAAAGCAAATGCCAGTTCTTCTGCTCTGGAGGGGTGGCGCTGTTGGGCAGTCTCTGTGGGGTCAGTTCGGGGCCTCGGGAGCGCGAGCGCGCTGTGATTTGCAAGGGGCTGTGGCCTCAGGGGCGCCAACCCGTCGTAAATCCCGCTGACGCGCTAACGGTGATGTAGGTTTCGGCGCTGTAGGTGGGACTGGTTCGTGGCCAAACCAATCGTAGGACATCGTGGTTGACGCTTTCCTACAATTGGCTGCGCCGTTTTCGTTCGATACACTCGCACAATTTGAATTGTAGGAAACGGTGTCTCGTGATTTCCTACAATTTGTTCTGCGCGAGCTCAGTGTCACAAACATCGGATTCCCAACATCGCCGTTAACCAACATCGCCGTTAGCGCGGCCTTGGAAATCACAAGGGGGTTTGGCCTCGGAGACGCGAGCGTGCACACTTTGAAAGGGATGGGGGTTCAGGGTCGCAGGCGCACAGTAACATGCGATGGGTCTGTGGCCGCGGGTGCGCGAAAGCTATGCCACTCACTTGGGATAGTGGCCTCGGGAGCGCGAGTGCGCCATGACAGATCTGGGTCTGAGGTTTCGGAGGCGAGATCGCGCCGTGATTTGCAGAGGATCGTGGCCTCCAGAGCGCAAGTGCGTCCCGATGTGCGAAGCGGCCTTGGTTCAGGGGGCGCGAAGTCGCCGTAATCTCCACGGGGTCACGGCCTCGGGGGCGCAAGCTTGCTGCAAGCCAGGCCGGGCTGTGGCCTCGGGAGCGCGAATCCGGCGCAGTGTACGCTGCAGCGAGGCTCGGAGAGCGCGAGTTCGCCGCAGTGTGCGAAGGACTGTGGCCTCGGGAGCGCCACGTCCCAGGGCACTTCGATAATCTATGAGGACCTCGTCCTGGGAGGGGAAGCTGCTGGTTTTTCGACCGGAGCCCTCGTGCGGACTGCAGTCGTTGCACCCCTGGAGCTGGAACAGATCCTATGGTTATATCGTGGGGAGCCGGAGCTGCTGCGCTGGGGGAGCACCTGCGCCTCGCAGCCAGCTGGCCCCAGGGGTGCTTGCGGATTTTTTGTTGTTTTTGTATGTCTCTCTCTCTCTCTCTATTTCTCTCTCTCTCTCGCCCTCTGTCTCGTGTTCTATTAATATCTACTTTGTTGTTTCTGTTAGTGTTTTTTTTGTTCTCTCTCATTATTTTGTTGTTGTTTGTTGTTGTTGTTGTTGGTGGTGATTTGTTTCTTTGTTTTTTTTCTTCTTCTTTTTTCTATCTCTCTCTCTCTCTGTCTCAATCTGTATATGGTCCACATCGAGATGCGTTCGTATGCCTGGGCTCGTTTGGCTCGTCCAGACTGCCACGTCGTGTTGCGCGGCGAGGAGAGAGAAGCAGGAGGCATGCTGAGGAGGAGGAGTAGCAGCAGCAGGAGGAGGCTCAAAACTTGTGTTCTAAATTTAGCTTGCCAGGCCTGAGGCAGGCACGACACCATGCATAGGATCTTTCGAAGGAGAGAAACGCCATAAGCATAAACTTTTGGCGCTCCTTGCGGATTTCTTGGAGCCGCGCCAGCCCCCCCTGGCGGCGCCTCCGGCGCCGCCTCTGGCGCGCTCCACGCGCTAGGGCCTAGCCGCCAGGGAGTTCAGCGCGGATCCAAGAAATCCGCGCGGAGCGCCAAAAAATTATTTCTATGTGGTTGTTTATTATTCTAGTGGATTGGATTTTGCGGCGGCGCGTGACCACAGCAAGCTGACACATGTGAGGAGCAGGAGGTAAGTATTGGAGTGAGGTCGTCCACCACTCGAATCGCGCCCAAAGTCAAAGTCCACAGCCCGTGTGATCGCAGTCAGCCGATCAACATGGGGGAAGCTTCTCCCTTCCCGGCGCGAAGAGCACTTCGAGCTGCAGCCAGCTGCACGGTCTCAGTGCGTCAGATGATGACGGACGGCGCAATATGGTACGACGGGCAATGACAACATCGTGAGTTCTCACTTCACTGATCGATCCTCGGGGAGGAGGAGGAGGAGGAGGAGGAGGAGGAGGAGGAGGAGGAGGAGGAGGAGGAGGAGGGAGGAGGGAGGAGGGAGGAGGGAGGAGGGAGGAGGGAGGAGGGAGGAGGGAGCTCGTCCTCCTGCCTCTATATATAAACCAAGCTTCCCCTCTCCAGAGTTGGCCGGGGTGCCACTCGCAGGCGGCGGGGCGAGAGGGGGAGCGAGAAGGTGTTACCAGCAAGCGGAGGATGCTTGGGGGATTTAGGGAGGGGGAGGACAGAGAGAATCGAGGAGATGCGCGGACGAAGCGGAGGGGGTGGCCACGCTCGGGCCGTCGCTTCGACAAGGTACCGCGCCGAGCCCGCGCCTTGCGCAGTAAACTCGCGACTCGGACGTGCGATGCAGATCCGAGGTGCCGCTGCCATCTGAACCGCGGCGCCGTAGCGAGTGGCGCGGGCGCGCCTCCTAGCAGAGGGTCGCGAGGCAAAGAGTGCCCACGCCACTCGCCGACTCGATGCCCTTCTGGAAGGCTTCTCGCCTCTCGCCTCCTCTGATGTTGCCTGGGCTCGCTCGCGGGCGCCCAACCGTCTCTCTGCTCCCGTTTTGCACCGCCGCGGACGGCGCCTGTTGTCTGGAGGCCTGGGACCTCCCGAGGCCTCCCAGAGGTCTCCGGAGGCCGAAAGGGTGTCCGGAGGCTCCCCAGAATTTTCTGGAGGCTTAGGCGAAGGGTAGCGATGAATCCCCCCCAGGCTCCCCAAGAGGTTTCTGGAGGCTCCCCGGGGGTTTCTGGAGGCTGAGGCTAGGGCTCAGGCTCCCCAGAGGCTCCCCATTTCTTTTTCTCAACGCCCGAGTGAAGGGCTCCTCCCAGGCAGGCTTAGGCTAAGGGTGACGATAGATCGCCCCAGAGCGTTCTGTAGCGCTCTCAGGGCGTGCTGGAGCGCTCGGCAGCTGGCCGCCGGCGCCCGCTGCGTCCTCCAGGCCTGCCGGCTCTCAGAGATTCTCAGCTTGTCCCCATCCGAAAGTGTCTTCTCATCTTGCCTTCGTCCTATCGTCATCGTTACCCTCACCTTCTCCTTCGTCCACCTCTTCCTCCTCCGTGTCCTCTTTCCTCCTCATCTTCCCCCTTCTCCTTCCTCCTCTTCCCCGTCCTCCTCCTCCTCCTCCTCTTCCTCCTCCTCCTCCTCCTCCGCCTCCTCCTCCTCCTTCCGTAGCCATTTTGGCTCAAGCCATTTTGGCTCAAAGCCATATCGGGAACTCCCCTGACTCAAGTGGCCTTGCCCGCCGCGCGCGTGCTCTCAGCCAGAGGTCCTCGCCCGAGCAGGCTGAGTGCCATACCCTTTTACATTTACCGTACACGCATTTTGCCTCTTACGGTACTACGCTCCCTTCGGTTCAGTTGTTTGGCCGCGATGGGTCGACGCAAGGGTCAGCGGGCCCAGCGTCCCTCGCCGTCACCGCCACCGCGTCCCTCGCGGAGTGTGACACGCGACCCTCGCCGTCACCGTGACAGCTCACACTCATGCTCTCCAGGCCGCTCTGCCAGTCGCAATCGTGGCGAGCGTTCCGCCATGGCGAGTGACACCAGCTCCAGCATTCGCGGGGTCACGCCGAGGGATGCGCCGTCTCGGGCGCCAGGCTGGTTGGCTGAGCTCATGACCACAGTGAACGGAACTGACGCTTCGGTGAAGCAGTTGGAACAGAACATGACTCAGGAGGTGGAGTCGATGCGGTCGGCTTTGGCTGTGCATGACAACAACTTGCGAGCAGCGAATCAGCGCTTGATTGCCGTGGAGCATGCCCAGTCTGGGGCTATTACGGCTGCAGTGGAGGCGACCATCAACGTGAAGTTCGAGGCTATCAACGAGCAGATCGCCAACATGAAGAACGCGCGGCCTCCTTCGCGGACATCGTCAACATCTTCTGGTGGCAGCTCTATGGGCAGCGATTCACATGGACATGGTGGTCAGCACTCGAGCCCATCGATAGGGCAGCCTGTGAATGACACGAAGAGGTGGGTGGGCACACTCCCGAGGTGCATCACTGGCAAACAGAAGGAGGCCCACTGGGAGAACGTGCTGAAGCCTATGGTCCCTGCCCAGTCCCTCAACTTAAGGGAGTTTCGAAAAGCTACGGCATTGTCTTTGGCACTGCTGAAGGTGCACGTGCCTTCTCCGACTTCATGAAGGACCTCGCGCTGTGCTGGCAGGATCCTCGGACGGCATCATCCTTTACACTTCGCATTCGGCAAGATCTTCCAGTGGACGTGCGGGCCAAGCAGAGGGCGGCGAGTCGTATCTGGGAGGACACGTTGGCGCTGTTCAAGAAGCACCAGTGCCAGATCTCCGACTTTCGGCTGGGGGTCAATGGCTTCCAAGGCCTCATCCACTTGACTTCCGTTGAGGAGACATTCGAGCTGTTCTGGGTCAAAGGCAACGAGAGCGCAGGCTTCACTTTCGAGCCCGTGTACGCCTCGTTCGCTTGGTGGAAGATTCCCGGGCAGGAGGTCACGGCCGTGGTGGGCAAAGTGACTGAGTTCATCTGACAAGCTGCCGTACGAGAGCACTCTCACGATCGTGAACGCCAGCTTCGACAGCCGGCTGTGGGTGCAGCACTGGGCCGTCCTGTTCCTCCGTCGAGGGCTTCCAGGACGTCGCTGCGCGCTGGCAGTAGGAGCCTGGCCGTTCAATATTCTGCCGCTGCTGCCTGTTCTAGCTTTTCTTCCTCTTCGTCGTCCTCGTCGTCGTCGTCCTCGTCCTCGTCCTCGCCCCCCTCCTCTTCGGAGAGTTCGCCCGGCGAGCGTCGGGGGAGTTCAGGGCGAACACTACGTTCAGAAGACGGGTCTCCAGGTTCTCCTGCTTCTGACCTCCCCCCCTTCTTAGACCTCCCATTCCTTCCTACTTCGAGCAGCTTGGAGATTGCATCGTGGAATGCCCATGCGCTTTTTGGGTCTATATGGACGAGTGCCTCCGCACAAGCAGCTACGTGGGCTAAATTAAAGGCTATGTCTCGGAGACTCGACATCTTAATCCTGCAGGAAACGCACGGCGAGCCAGGAGATTTGCATGAACTTCGGAAGCTGTACCCGTCCTGGAAAATCGTGGGGTCTTTCCTAGTGACTGCGGGTGCTGGTGGGATCCTTTTCATGGTGCATGAAAGGCTAGCTGTGCGATTCAACAGGTTCAGGTTGGCCCCTGTCGTTCCTGGGAGGATTGGGATCTTGAGGATGTATGGGGAGTTCGGGAACCTGGACGTCTGCAACATGCATGTGGACCCGAGTTGGCCATTCTTTCAGACTCGAGGTGTTCTGCGAGCTGCTCAGCGACGGCTCAGGTGCAGCACCATCGCCACCTCGTTCCTCGGTGGCGACTTTAATTTTTCGGCAACTGGTGAAGGTAGATTGCGTCTCTCTGAGGGCCTCCTTGAGATGGGCTCCAACTCTCTTGGCAAGTACTTCGACGAGTTATTCCCAAGTATGTTAGAACTCCACCAACCTGAATATACCCATAAAGCCGTTCACCACAGTGAAGTTATATCTCTTGGAAGGCTTGATCGGATATATATGTCTATTCCTACCTCCGACGCCCTCGACCTCAGCCCTCTCGCTGGCCTCATGGGGGACCTATTGGATCCAAAGTTGCCCAGCGATCATACTTGCGTTTACATCTCTCTTACTTCTTCTCCGAGGTCCCCGCGTCCTTCTATTCCCAGGTGGATATCTCGGCACCGCCACGCTTCGTTTGCTTCTTGAAGAAGTTTGTCTTTCGGAGGCTCCAGCTGATCGGGTGGAAGAGGTGGAGGAAGTGATCTATGAGGCGGCGAGGAGGGCGAAGAAGGCTACAGAGCTGCTGGGCCCAGAGACTCCCTTGCAGAAGATAGCCTGGATGCTCGCCCTTCTGCGTGCTCATCGTGACGGTCGTCGCGAGACTGTTGTGCGTGCATTGCGTGCCTGGCCTGTGTTAGGTGAGCATTATGGTCGGCAGGTTTTTTCAGTGGACGGACAGCGTTGGCTTTCACAGTCGTTTATCTATTCTGATGCGCGCTGTCTACGCTGCTGATGAAGCTGAGATTCAGGGGGGCCCTAATCCTACACATGTTCAGAAAGCCAACGGAGTCCAGCGTATCAAGGAACTTGCGGCTGCGTGGCGGCCACGGCATCGGTGCATTTACCCTCGAGGTCTAGTTGACAGTGCTGGGCAGATTGTCACAGAGCCGTCTGAGTGTGCCAAGCAGCTTGCGGAATACTGGGGTGAGGTTTCCAAGACCGTGCCGCCCCAGGAGTCCGAGTTCTGTTTTCTGGACCCGTTCATTCAACAAGTCCCTGGTGGGACTCGGTGGGTTCTGCGGTACGAGCAGTTCGAAACGATGGTCCACAAGAAAAAAGATAGCTGCCCAGGGGTTGATGGTATTCCGTACTCTGTCTGGAAGGCGGGTGGGGGCATCGCGATCGAATCACTTTACCAGCTGTACTTGTCGGGGCTGCGGTTCGGCTCCTTCCCTGACACGTTCAACAGCTCGTTGGCCGCCTTTTTACCTCAAGGAGATATCGAAGTCACACAGCCTGGCCAGGTTAAACCTCCGGCTTCGACTCGCCCACTAACGTTATCAAATACTGACAACAGGCTGTTGGCTAGTGCTTATTCCTCCCCTCTTCGTCAGATTGCCTCCCTGGTTGTGCGCCATTCGCAGTCGGGTTTCATTCCTGGGCGGCAAATCCTGGATCACCTTATTTCCCTGGACTCGGAGCTTCGGATTTGGAGGGGCGTCGAAGGACACACCCGTACTGGAGGTGTCCTATACGACGTCAAGGCTGCCTTCCCTTCGACCGCCCACGCTTATCTCTTCTACATTCTCTCGAAGATGCAGGTGCCTGAGTTTTTCCTGCATGCGATTAAGATGTTGCACGAGGCTGTGCGGATTTATATTAGCTTTAGAGGCTGCGACGACTTCGATTTCATGCTTGAGCACAGGGCTGTCCTCTCAGCGGGCTGTTGTACGCATTGGCCGCTGACCCCTTCATCAGGTATCTATTGAGTCGTATCCCACGGTCCCCTAGCTCTTCTTTTTACGCTTTTGCTGATGACCTTGGGCTGACCTCCCAGGACATATTCATTACCTTACCTGTAGTCTTACCGATTATGAACTGGTTTAGTTCGCTTTCTGGTCTATGCATTCATCCTGGCAAAACTGTTATCTTGATTCCGTACGGGATGGATCCCGCCAGCGCGCTCAGCCTCTTTGCCGAGCACGGGCTCGACGTGTCGGGCTTCAGGCTCGCCAAGCACGGCAAGTACTTAGGCTTTGTTGTCGGCGATGGCGGGGAGATTTTATCTTGGGATGATCCTGGGGACAAGGTGCTTTCACGGACTCGGCAGATCAGGGCCATGGGAATGAGTTTTATGATGAATGTTTTGGCCTATAACTTGTTCGCCTTCCCAACGCTGGGATATGTCGCGCAGCTGCTGCCGCCGTCCAAAGCTGTGCTGCGCCGTGAGTATGAATCTGTGCAGCTGCTGCATGCTGGCCCGTTCAATGCCATCAGCCACGACATGATGATGAATCTAAGTAAGATCGGCTTTAAACATGATGTACGTAATCTTCACCTTTATGCTAAAGCATGTTCATATCGCGTTGCCTTGCGTAGTCTAGCCTTCTGTAGGTGGGAGTATCGGTATGAGGAGATCTTAGACGGCGATGATTGGCTAGTTATTCATATATGGAACCCTTATGTGACGAACTAGATCTTGTGGCACTTGATGGCTGTTAAGGCCAAGTTGCAGGGCATGTTCAATGTCCCACGTTCACCTGCTTGCCCGCGTCTTCAAGCAAAAGTGTACGCTGCCCTTCGGCTGAATCGCGACTCGGTCACGATTGGTAGTATGCTGGCTTCGAGGCTCATGAAGTTTCGGAAGGACACTACCCCGCAGGAGGCCTTTCTCACAGGGAAACGTATGCACCTACTTGCTCGCTATGTTCCTCAATGTGTTCTAGCCTCTGTTCTTAAAACGATCTCGAATCATTGGAATTGTACGGCCCGATACTCAACCCCGACGTTGAAATGCAGGTGCTGTGGTCTTGAAAAAAAGGTGACAAGATGATTCATTATTTACAATGTCCACGCATTCTTCCCGAAGTGAAGGCCTCTCTTCCCCTTCTTCCCGGATCTTGGGGTCCTGGAGACCCGTCTAGGATGTTTGTTTTCGGGGCTTGGAAGGATCTAGAACTTTCTGCTCTGGTCAGTAAAGCCCTAGGCATAGACATGGTGCACAACATATATAACACTCTCCGTCATAAGCACGTCCTGGGCTAGTTAGAGCGCGGGCGCGGGCAATGGCTCGCCGCAGCCGCCATGCTCGAGGTGCTCTTCAAGGACGGTGGGACCTCCCTCCTCCTCCTCCCGGCTGAGTGCATCTCCTCCTCCTCCTCCTCCTCCTCCTCCCCCTCCTCCTCCCCCTCCTCGTCCTCCTCCTCCTCCTCCTCCTCCTCCTCCTCCTCCTCCCTGTAATACTGTAAGTCGATTCCTCGAGGCCGTTCGCGTTCTGACCAGACCTTGATGGGAATCCCGCCGTGGCGACGACGGCACCTCCGAGGAGGCCCAGAATGGCGCGGGGCGGCAAACTTGCCACGCTCCTGGCCATGGACGAGCCTCGCTCGGGCCGCGAGCCGAGCGGCGCAGAGGACGGGTCGGGCGCGCGTGTCGGCTCCTCGGGGCCCTCTTCCGCCGCCTGCACCGCTCATCCCTCGTCCTCCCCCACCCATCCCTTCTCGTGCTCCTCCGGCCGCTCCCCCCTCCAAGCCCTCCCCCCTCCCCTCCCTCCGCCTCCATCTCCTCATCCTGCTCCTCCTCCTCCTTCTCCCCCTCATTATCCTCCCTCTACTTTGTGGGTGCAGCGCGGCCCTTGCGCGCTGTGGAACTGGCACAGCCCTTCCTGGACTTCTGCCTCCTCCTCCTCCTCCTCCTCCTCCTCCTCCTCCTCCTCCTCCTCCTCCTCCTCCCCCCTCCTCCTCCTCCTCCTCCTCCTTCTCCTCCTCCTCCTCCTCTCCTCCTCCATGGCGGTGCTCATCCCACAGCCTCCTTCCGCCTCCTCCGCCTCCTCCTCCTTCTCCTCCTCCTCCTCCTCCTCCTCCTCCTCCTCCTCCTCCTCCTCCTCCTCTCCCTCCTCCTCTCTCCTCCTCCTCCTCCTCCTCCTCCTCCTCCTCCTCCTCCTCCTCCTCCTCCCCCTCCTCCTCTTCTTCCTCCTCGTCCTCCTCCTCCACCTCCTCCTTCTCCTCCTCCTCCTCGGGCTGGAGGTGTTTTCGCAGCCCTCGGAGAAGTCCCCGACGGCCTCGATCTACACCGCAATGGTGCGCCAATACATGCTTGCCCCCGTTTGCGCGATGTCGCGGCGTCTGCCTTCGGAGGGCTCCCCATCTACACGCCTCCCCATCCTGTCCTCGGCGCTTCCTGCGGAGAACACTCCCCTCTTGTCTGGTGGCCTGCCTCCACCCGTTGCCCCGTCTTCTCTCACTCTCTACCGTTCTCGATTCCCCCCTATCCCCACCCCTTGCCTGAACCTCCCTAGGAGGAGGAGGAGGGGGGGGAGGAGGAGGAGGAGGAGGAGGAGGAGGAGGAGGAGGAGGAGGAGGAGGAGGAGGAGGAGGTGGACAAGAAGAACATATTATGGGGAGCTATGGCGCTGTGGCGAGAGCGCGGCTCCCGAGTGCGAGCTCGGCCGCCCCGGCCACATCACTCTCGAGGGAAAGACGCTCCCGATTTCGGCGGGAGCCCTCGGTGCCCGACGCCCCAGGACTTGCAGTCCTGCTCGGGCCGGAGGCCCGCACTGGACCCGCAGGCCGCGACAGCGTTGCACCGCGACGCACCCACAGGTCGAGCAGAACAAAACCCCATTCAACTCCGACAGGGAATGGGCAACGGATGGCCATTGATGGATGGCCAACGATGGAGTATCAAAACCGAGCCTTCTTGATGGGTGCGAATATAGCCCCCATGAGGGGAAGCGGATTCGACACAATCGGACAAGGGGCAGAAGTTGTTGGGCGTGTGCACTGGTGGAAAAAAAGAAAACATAATCCCAGTCGGCTCTCGTGGCAATGGATGGCCAACGGGTGGGCTGCAGCGCCCACCACCGGCCCAGGGCCAGCAACCGGATCCTCGCTCCTCGGGGCGGAGAGGCTCGCGAAGCGACTGCCTGTGCGCGCGCTGGACCAGAGATCGGACGCCGCCCCGCGCACACTGAACTCAGCACGACAGACACTACACTGGATCAGGGTGCGGAGCCCGACGGGGCAGTGGCCTCGCTCTCGCACCCTATCTTCACGAGCTGCAGCAAAACTGCGCTTCCTCCGGCGCGCGTGGTCGAGACCTTCATCTCTACCCTCCTCGAGCATCCGGCCCGTCACGTGGGCAAGTCGAGAAAACGTCACGCTGGATGGCCACGAGGCGCCGGAGGATGGCCACGTGGAGGTCATCTTGCAGAAAAGTCCGAGCCGAGAGATGCTCGGGAACTTCAGCCCTCCTCGCAGCTTCTGACGCACATGCGTCGGCAGCTCCGTTCAAAAAACGCTCGATGCGGGTTAATCCGAGGGCGCTGACTTGGGTTTTAGCGGGGTGACTTTCCCCACTCCTTTGATCCAGGACACTCCAGAGGTTAACACATACATCTACCATCTCACAGTTTATCATGGCCGACCTCGGTCTTCGGAAACCACTGACGATAGGAAGGCAGTCGCTGAAAATCAAAACTCTGCCTGACGTATACCTGAGTGAAACAAATCAGCGCCAGGAGCTCGGCACGAGAAGACGACTGGTCGGGGCCTGGCAGGGTGCCAGCAAAGCCACCATCGGCATCATCTAAAGTAGCGGAGAGGCGCACGCAAGCCCACCCGCATCTCCTTAGTCTGGAATCCTTAGCAAGCTTCCCCCCCGATCCGTCGATCCCCCACAGTCCTCCCTCCTTGACCTCCCGATCCTCGAACGACCCCCAGAACCAACTCTCGTCGGAAGGAGCGGGAAGATGCCCTGTGGTGCGATCAAGCGGCATGAGCCCGCGGCACCACAAGGCAACGCAATCATCTTGAGCAGCACGCTCAGACAGGTGGGCGGAGTCGCCGACCGTCGTGTCTGGATTGAACTCGTTCATACGACATTGCCAAAACAGTGGGAAGGGGTCTCCTGCTGCTGTGCGCAGCGCACGCAGACACCTAGGGCAGCAGACTCGTAGCCAGCTTCGTGCAATCAAAGCTCCGCCCAAGAACCTCCCGAGACGGCCTTCATCAAAACAGGCTGCCCCTCATGGCCCAGCTCCCGTCCCATCCTCCGGCACTCTTTATCAAAACACGTAAAACCAACACCTCCCTCGACCCCTTCCCCCATGTAGTGCCGAGCTGCTTGTCGCCAAACAGTAGCATCGCACGCAAGCTGGATGGATCGGCGAAGGTGCACGCGAAAACCAGGCTGGGACAGCTGGATCAATGCGCCCCGCTCGTCACACCACCGTGCAGGAGAAAGAGGAACTCATCCTAGATCGAGTAGAGCAGCAACAGTAGCGGCCACAGGACCATGCACTCGACCCCATATATTCTTGGCAGGGATACTGTTGAACTCTTGCACCTTGCTCCTCCAGGGAGTAGAACCTTCGACTGAAACCAATGCCCCAGAGCAGCCCAAGTGGAGGCGAAACCTTCGAGATGCTCACGACGTACTCGATGGATGGGGTCATTACGAACCCCTCCCATAGCGCCGAGGATAGTAGTAGAACAGGCACCAGCGTGCCAAGCACGTGAGCAAACAGCCGCCTGCCCTCGCACACTCTGGACCTGTTTCGTAGAAAGTCCCACCACTTGATGCCCCCAGGTACCGACAGCTAACGCGCCAGGTTTGTGCACATTGGAAGCTTGTTTGACATATATATATATATATATATATATATATATATATATATATATTGAATCGCTTCGCTCACTCCGCCGGCCCGTATTGCGCCATCGCGGGCGTTTGCTTGCGCGGTCGCGAGCCAGGCGGCGCTGGTTGGCCGTGGTCGTTTTCCAGAGGCGTTGCGGCAGAACGCATGGGGATGAAGCAGTTTGTTTGGAGCTTGTTGTGGGAGCTTCGGCCTCTACTGTCTTACGAGGTGGCTATCTAGTGGTTTTCGGCCCATCCCGCCACCGTGCCTGGGTTGTAGGTCAGAGGCCTCTTGGATGTTCGTTGAGATATCGTGGCAGGCCTTTCGAGGGTTTCTTTGGAGGCAGTTTTGAGGGTTCTTGGGGGCCGTCGGGGGGGTTCTTGGGGCTTCTGTTTAGGCCTCTTGGGGTCTCTTGCAGGCCTCTTGGGGCCTCATGGGGGCTGCTTGGGGCGGAAGTCTCGAATTGTCGGTTCGTGCTCCCTCTCTTGGGTCCCTTTGGGGCCCTCTTGGGGCTCTCTTGGGCCGTTCGGGCGTCTCGTGGGCCGTTGTGGAGCCCTCTGGGGTCGTCTTGGGGTTCTCTTGGGGGCCTCCTGGGCTGTCTAGGGGTGGTTTTTGAGGGCTCGTGGTCTGTCTTGGAGCGTCGGAAGCTCGAAAAGGCGAGAACCCCCAAAACCATTGAACACACCAAATGGAAATCAATGATTTGGGCATCTTGCGGCCCTCTTGGGAAACTGCTTGGAGCGCTCTTGGGGCCTATTGAGGCCTCTCGGGCCGTCCTGGGGCCATCGTGGGCGTTCTGGAGCGCTCTTGGGCCGTCTTGGAGGCCGTTCTGTTGCTGCTGCTAGTGCTGGCGGTGGTGGTGGTGGTGTTGCTGCTGCTGGTGCTGGTGCTGGTGGTGCTGGTTCTCGAGCTGTTGGTGCTGCTGCTGGTGCTGCTGCTGGTGCCGTTGTTTCTGTTTGTGGGCAGTAATAACTTGTTATTGCAAGTCATAAGTCGACGCCCCCAGGCGGGAGTGTCCCGCCGTCGGCGCACCGCGCGATGGCGGGCGCCCGCGTGTCCACCCGCCACGCGCCGCCGCTGCGTCGGGCGGGCCAGGCCCCGCGCGGGCATGCTGGCGTGCCGCGCGGCCGTGCGTCGGGGTCCTCCCCCCTCCGCTCCTCCGCGCACGGTCGCGATGTCTCCTCTTTGCCGCCTGGCCGCGGGGCGGGGTATCAAGTGCCCGGTCATGTCTGCAGCGCCCCACCTGCCTAGTGTGCACTCTTAAGGTGGGGCGGCTGGCCGGGGCGTGGTCCTCTGTCTGCCCGCGCGCGGCTCTGGGCCAACCCTGGGGGCGACGCGCGGGGCGCCCGTTCGCCAGAGTGCGTCGGGCGCGACCGCGGTCGCGCTTCTTTTCTCGTGAAGGCGTTCCAGCCCAGGGTTGAGCCTCGGGCCAACACCGCTGGTCCTTGGTGACCTACGCGTTGTTTCTCCACCCTGGCGGAGTCTGTTTCACGGCCCTGAGGGGTCACGGAATTGCGATCAAGCCCAGAGTGGCCTCTTACGTCGGCCCAGTGTGACCAACGTACCCATAGGGTTCCCCCTCGCGGGCCCAGAGCGACCCTCGTCTGGCGGCCCAGAGTGGCCATTCAGTAGCAGGGCAGCCGATGCCAGCCCGCATGTCTGGCGGCCCTAGAGCGGCCAATCTTCGATAGGGCGGCCGTTGCGGCTTGCCTGACTGCCAGCAGACCCGCGCGTCTCGCTTGGAGGCCCATAGTGGCCAATCGTTGCAAACGTTTCTTTCGCACTCCCAGTGAACAGTCGAGCGCGAGACTCGCAGCGCGCCAGACTCGCAGCGCAAAGGCAGCGAACTCCCGCCGTCGGTCGACGGTTTTTGCTCTGGCTGCCGCAGGTTCGCAGCGGCTCCGAATGTCGGGTGATGTCAGCGGCTTCTGCTTGCTTGCGATGGCGGAGCAGGCTGCGCAGGCGGCGCTCGCGCCGTTCGAGGCGAAAACAGAAAGGGGCTCCTTGGCGCGCACCGCATCCCGCGCGCGGGTCGCGTACGCAGACGCAGTGTTGTCGCAGGCGCGCGAGCGGCTTCGCTACCTGCCGGTCAAGGGGGCGGGCCCCAGGCTGCAGGGGCGAGCGCCAAGGGGCCCGCCCCTAGCAATGCCAGCACCACCTGCCAACGAGAGCTGCGAGTCGCCAGTCCGACTCGGAGCAGTCGGCCCTCGGTTAGTAAGGCTGGAGCAGGTGTGGGCTGAATTGCGCTTCGCCCTGGCCCAATGCGCACCGCGTTTGCCGCGCGACGTCTGCCAGATCACAATGGGCTACGCTAAGCCCCAGATCGTCTCTGCGCCCGTGATGCGCTACCGTCTAATGGACAATCCAGACAGCGGCGATGATGCGCACTTCCGCCGGGTAAAGCTGCGAGCGCGCCCGCCAGCGCGGGTCGCGGGCGCCTAG